CAAAATCTTCAGAATATGTAAATTTCCCAAAATTCCCTGAGGAGGTATTGTTCATGTATAGCACATCTACTGTCTCCGGACAAAGTGAGTACTTGCAGAGTAGTACTCATTTGATTGATCATTTTAATGTCAGAATTAAAACAAAGATGTACACTAATTTACAGATGCATTACTGCATTGATTTTTTTTCAAATGTTCATGAAATCTTCTGTGACCAATGTGTTGACATCCAATGAAATGTGGATAAGCATCTAAAGATGTTCTACAATTTTTTTTAAACCCTGTGATTTAATAATTATTTAAATACACTACATGCAAATCTAGTCAATGCAAGCTTTTCATTTTTTATCACTGTTTAAAGTCTGTTCCATTTATGATAGACCTCTGAAATTTTCATCAAATAATTGGATATACCTATGAATTCTATAAAATATAAAAAATTCATTTTAATTAACATATGCCAAAAAAACTACTACATCCTTAAACGCATTCAGGTGCCGCACTAGCAGTGTAATTACAGAAAATGTTATTGGAATGAATCTGAGCTTATAATTACCATATACGTCTAATTTATCACATGGTACAAACATAGTTAATGACAATATTCATTAATTATTCTCTTTACTACACCCCCTCCCCATCTTGCTAGCCATAAATGTCATTCCAGCATTCTAACTCATCCTTTATATCCACATTTAAGACAGTTTGACAATCAGATGCCAATATCATACATACACAACCTTCACTATATCAAGAGGGCCTTGTTCTTTTAGTCATTTATTGATTTCATCATACATGTATGGCTTATTTTACGCTGTTCACAAAATTCTAATAAAATTGTATGGACACCAAACTAGTTTTAAAAAATGTGTCCAAAACTTATGAAAATGCCTATGGGGTGGGGCATATTCCATTGGTGCCTATAGTAAAAATAGATTTTGTTAAATCTCAGGATATGCTATGAAAGAATTATATGTACCAGTAATTATAAGATGGGTACTTCTGATTGTTTCGTATTATTGGGATATTCTGACAAACACTATTTTTTATGAAATCTCAAAGTTCCGAAACGATCAATTTTTCCATATTTACATTTTTATGTTTGTTTTTTTCAACAAAATCCCAAAATTTGATTCATTGTGTCTAAATCAACAATTAAGTAACACATTTTTGAAACAAAAGAACCTGCTATTTTTTTCGCTGTTATTTGTTAGGTTGAATGTGTGCGAACAACCTTAAATAGATTGAACAAACTTAACAAGCAAGCTGTATTTGTACTACTTTTTCCTTTGAAAGATAATGCAAATGATACTAAATATAGTATGCAAATTAATGTGAAATCAATAGATGATACTATTTTCAGATTACTTTTTTTATGGATATGCCTGTACATACCACGAAAGATCATTTTTCATTTATCACAGGATCTTGCGTTACCAGGGATACATGTATTTAATAGTGAAATTACCAGGTAAACGCAAAAAAAAAACAGGACAGGACAAGTCATAGCATTATGGTTACATCAACACATCAGGTGGGATTCAAACAAATGAAATTAGTTTTGGGGTAACGTGTTACTGTAGAATACTTTATTTTCGCTTGGAATTTATTTTCGCTGAAGGGATGATTCCGTGAAAATAAAATCCAGCGAATATACTTTTTTCCCTATATTTCACATTAAACTCATCAAAAATCAGGGAAAATAAATTCTAAACAAAACGCCCAAAAATTAATTCCAGCAAAAATAAAGTATTCCACAGTATATAAAACAAGTAGCCTCTCGGCTGAGATAGCCCCGCTGTTAGCAATGCACATTTCAATTAAAGAACAGAAGATATCATTAGAAAATGAACAATATGTATAGTATCAAAACAATCAGACTTGCGGTTTTCAACAAGAAGTGAAAAATATTACTTTTTACCAAAAGTTACAAAAATATTCATCAAAATTGGAGAATTGAAGATATCATCATGAAATGAACAAATCTGAGTTAGAACCACATGTAGTACCTATATATGTGATATCAAAGCAATTTGATTTGCGGTTTTCAACAAGATGTTGAAAATATCACTTTTTACCAAAAATTACAAAAATATTCACCAAAATTAGAGAATTAAAGATATCATTACAAAATGAACAAA